TAATCCTTTGGAGGAGTACAACGATCCCGAATTTCGACGCAAATTTCGGTTTTCGAAGGGAACCGTAACCTATCTCGCAAGAGAATTGCGCGAAAGCCTCGTGAAAGACAGACACGGTTCAGGACTACCTGTACACCTGCAATTACTGATTGTACTTAGGCGAGTAAAGTTTAATTTATGTATTAATAATATTTTTATTTGAGTTGTTTTGCAAACTGAAAAACAGTAATAGTGTATTACAGATTTTTTGCCACCAATGCCTTTAACATTGTGCTGGTCGATCTTGTTAATGTACACAAAAACCTGGTGTGTCGCCTAATTAAATCGGTTTCGGAGGCAATTTGTCTCGTCCGGAAGTGTAGATACGTGTACTTTCCACCCTTGCGGGAACACGTACGAATAAAAGCAGGATTTGCACACTTATCCAGGTAAGTTGGATCATGCAACTTATAAACATTTTTTTATGTCAGTAAACCCACAAATATTTATCATAGTGCTTTTTCTATGGCTTCACTTAATACTGTTTCTTTGCAATTTTCCTGTTAACATTGCAAATGTAATAAACATTTTGTAATGTGCAATGAAATTATTCCAAGGGCTTTGACGTAATTTACTGTTCATATAAATCATTGGAAATTATGCATATTAAAAAATGTCTTTCAATAATTTCCAATACTAATAAAAGTCATTCAATTCATCAATTTTCATTATAAATATTAACTGTAAGTCAGCAAATAAAAATATATTTTATATTGAGCTTAAATTAAAAGTTCATCATTCAATTAAGAAAACATTAAGTTCGCTGGACACTTTTCATGTAACCCCCTTTGTGCTTTGCAATGTAATAACACAATGTTCATTTGTCTTTGAAATAAGATCATCATCATCAGCAACAAGGTTTGGGCCTAGTGGCCGGTTCCGCTCTCAAGAGTCTCTTTCCATCTTGTGTGGGGTCTGCCTCTGGATCGTTTCCCCTTTGGTTTGTATTCGAGGATAGTCTTGGGAAGCCGTTCTTGTGGCATTCTGGTTAGGTGTTCGAACTAATTCTTCCTCGTTGAGTCGATCTTCCCCAGTATGCTGGAGATCTGTAGTTCACCTCTGATGTCTTCATTTCTCTTATGATCTAGTAGTGTATATCCTGCTAATGGTCTCAGGAATCTCATTTCTGCCGCTTCGATCTTTCTTTTGTCTGACCTATTGACTGTCCAGTTTTTGCATCCATAAGTTAGCATTGGGACTGCCATAGTTTTGTAACATTTTAGTTGGTTGTCTTGTCTGGTCTTTTGTCTTAGTGCTCTGCGTATAGTACCGCACAATTTCTGGAATTTTTGGATCTTTATGTTTATATCTTTTTTGTCGCAGCATGAGATGTTAAATCCTAAATAATTAAAGTTGTTTACTTGTTCAATACTTTTTTCGTTTATCACTACTTTACATCTGATATGGTTTTTCCCCTGGAATGCCATTGTTTTTGTTTTAGATGTTGATATCTTCAAGTTATAATTTTTCCCTGTTAACTCGAGGTAATGGGCAGCTCTCTGTAGGTCGTCTTCTGAAGTACTAAAAATGGCCTGGTCATCTGCAAATAGAGTAGTGTTTAAAATTGTATTGCACCACCAAACTATCCCTGCGTGGCGCCCGTAACGCAACCAGGGGAAACTTACCTTACTGACAACTCTCAAGAGAATAGCCGGACTGTAAATGAAGATAACAATGCTACGAAAAAGGATAAACGATCTAAGAAGACAGAAAAAATGAAAATCACAACCTGGAATGTTAGAGGTTTGAAATAAGATATTAACCTAAATTATTACCCTTGCAGAGACAACTTTCCGGGGATTATCGGTGCTATTAATCGCACATACATAAAAATTGTGTGCTCTGCAAGAGAGCAGAAAGATTTTACAATCGTAAATGTTATTCCATTTACTGCCAAGTATTATAATTTAACGGCCATTTGATTATTCTTTTCAAATTAGTTTCAAGTTAATATGCATCAATGAATGTATTAAATTTCAGGTGGTTTGCGGCCATGAGATGAATATCACAAATATTGTCGCAAGATAGCCAGGCTCCACTCATGACAGCCGAATCTTTCGTAACTCAACAATAAAGGATGTGCTAAAGAGTGGCGTATATAATGCCCACCTTATTGGTGACAGTGGGTATCCATGTACTCGCTACTTTCTGACCCCAGTTCTTCGTGAAAGGACTGCGGCAGAAGGTAAACACGGCACACAAACGAGCTAGAAACATTATTGAGAGGGTTTTTGGAAGCTGGAAAAAGAGGTTTCTATGCCTCCAAACTCCTCTCAGAGAGAAACTAGCGACTGTGCAACGCATTATTGTGGCAACTGCTGGCACTGCACAATGTTGCTATAAGAAGGGAGGAAGAATTTAATGATATTGTGGAGGAAGAAGAGGAAAATAATATAGAAAATGCCAGGAATGAGGAACAGGGAGGGGCGTGGAGGAGAATAATAATTGCCAATCATTTTTCATAATAAGACTATTTTATTATATTAATCAGTGTTTTATTTCTGACAGTCATTTTGGCTTTTGTTGAAGTATCCTGAAAAATAAAACTACATTTAGTTCCAGAATGGAAAGTGAAGAAATGGTAAAGATGTAGTTATTAACTTATAACAATTGGATAGGTTCAATGAACAATTGCCAATTGTAATAAAATATATTAGAATTTGTTTCATATTGACCCTGAAAAAGGGTAAGGGAAAACCTGTTGCTAATATGAACATTGTTCAGATTTAAACATGAAAAATTATGTAAATTTAAATTCATGGAAAATTCTTTACTGAATTGTTTTAAGCAATTCGCCAATTTTGTTTGCAGACCCTCTTCCTTGCATTCTTCAGATAAGTTAAATTTTTCAATAAAGTCTAACGAATGTGGTGCCAGTAGTCTTCATATCACATTGAGGATATGATTAGACTAATTGATTCAAAGCATTGTTTCCAACTCGCCTAAAGAGTCCCCGCAACTTTGCGAAAGCAATCTGGCATTCACCCCAGAAGGTGGTCAGATTGATGGCAACAACCACACAAACTTGCCCCTCCTGATCCTGAAGGAAAAACCCTCCTCCTAATGTATCAGGAAGAACCTTCAAACAGACTGCAATTTGAGGTATACTCCAGCAGTAGGCTCTGAGATTCTTCAGCAGAAGAAATGAACAGCTACACAGATCCCCACTGCACCTGCAAATTGGGAATCTCCGGCAGCATCAAAGACACTTAAGCCATTTTGCCTTCACATGCAGGCACAGGCTCATGCTTCAAAGTTTACATTATTATTATTATTATTATTATTATTATTATTATTATTATTATTATTATTATTATTATTATTATTATTATTATTTACTTAATAATAATAATAAAATAACACCATATCAATAATCATATTAGTTAAAAATGGACTTAACATCTAATTGTTTTACAAATTTGTTATTTTAATCTTTCTTAATATTACTTACTTATTACTAGAAATGAATCCTCCCTATGGAGCTGCAAAATAGCCCACCTCTCTTCACGTTCCTTCATCTTTGCTGCATGACTCTCCATCTTCGCTGCATGTTCCTTACGTCTCATTTCCTGTTGCTCTTCTGCTATCAAAGTACTCTAGTTTCCTACAGAAGAACATCTACTTCAGGTCTCAATAATATCTTGCTTTCATTTAACCTTTATCGGACTGCTATTTTTCATTCTACATAAAGATTACTAATTGAAATTCATGGATACTTTTCCATGTATAAAAACATTAACCCATTGTAATGAGATGGATGACCCTTATCTTACAATTGCACTTTCCATAGTTTGAGAAATCTTTAGGATTGTATAATTGTTTCCTTATCAGATTAACTTCACTGTACTTCATTTGGTATAATTTCATTTAATTGTTTTGGTTGCTTTCAATGTTCCTATAATATCCATTATAATTCTAAATTAATTAAAACATTCTACTTATGTGTTCCTTCTGAACGACCAAGAATAAGAGTGGCCACTCCATTTCCTGTCCTTTCCTTTTCGTTCCTGATAAGATATGGAATTTCAAACTAGTTAAAGATAATATTAAAGGTATCATACCATAGACTAAGGAGGTATATATCATTACTGTATGGTGATACTAATTGGTCAGCTCTCTGCTTGGGTGTAACAAAGTACAAATTAACAATATCGTCTCATCAAATAAAAACTCAGTAAAAAAATAACATTTGTTGATATCTTCATCATCCTGTACTAATGTTTCTAAGGAATAATATCTAGTTTTATATGCCTCTCAAAGTTTTCCCAGAATTCTACTGATTCTTCTGATTACCTGTTACTAAACTAATTACCTGATTTTTCCCAGTTATCCAGAAAGTGGCCCCCCATCAATACAATTTTATTACTTAATCTAATTGGAATGTTTTGAAAAAATATTTTGCGTTAATTTTGGTAATATTTATTCATACCTATGTATCAAAACTAGATTGTTCACGTTTTAATACTGTAAAATCGAACAGAGAGCCCCGGAATTGGAAAACTATTGCAGAGAAAATACTAGTAGAGTGGAGCTCTTTCTGGATGTTCAACTTATATGTGAAATTATGCTTGACTGTATGATGCCGAAAATAATACGAATAGATACAAATAATCCCAGAAAGAGTGTGCTGTTGGAGACTTTGTGTTTCTTTTTAAATTTATGCTCGCAAAAAAGCAATGTTCGCATAAAAAATATCGTTACTCTAACTTGCGTATTTTGTAGATATTTTTGGATTACCGCTATGAATTCCAAAAGACAATGTGTGTGTGTGTGTCTCTCTCTCTCTCTCTCTCTCTCTCTGTCTCTCATTCTTTATCTTTGCGTGTGTGTGAGTGTGCGCGCCACTTAAAGGATACCACTATTATGTTGTGATCATTGAGAACAAAAGGAAAAATTAAAATAAATCAATACAATGTTGTTTTTCTTATTGAATACAATGTTCACTTTTTTAAGATAACTTACACAATTTTAAAATATTCGTATAAATATTACATAGACCTGCGAACAATTGTTCTTCAAAATGATAATGATAATGAAACAATAATGAAACTAATAGTCATCATCATAGGGGTTTTCGGGATGGCCTCCATACCTGTAAAGAAAAATAATTTTAAGTTAAGCAAATAACTTACAATATTACTAAGATTGTTGGCAGAAAATCAATTAACTTTTCTATCGTAAATTGTGAATGTTCAGCAAATTTTCACGTGAATAAAATATGCTATTATTTAGTCTGAAAACCAACATTCACAATAATTGAGCATTATTTTGTTGTAAAAATATTAAACGAGCTGCTGAAGCTTTTAAAACATGAAAATTCTTTCAAATCGAACCGAATTGTCATTCACGTTTCATACGCACTCAAATTCAAAGCTACGATAGCAATTCGATACAACGCAGATGTCGATGGGGGTTTTGTGTTGTGTTGCCAGTCTTGTTTCGGTCACAGCGAAGCATTTTGAATAGCATTGCAAACAGTTAAGCGGGTAGCTTTGAATTGCATTTGCGCCTTCTTGATTTAGCATTTAAAAAAAAATATATAAACGATATTCTCTGTGAAATTCTCCCCCCTTTTTTTTGACTCATCAATTATTGTCAAGATTAGTTGTGTGTGAGAATTGCAAATATATCAATAGTACGGAAATAATTAGTTCTTACTACTCGCTATTCCTTAACTTGTTTTCGAATTTATCGTTGAAAAGGAACACTGCTATTGATATTGTTTCCATTTATTTATGTTGGCGTTCAATTTCAGTTCATCAATTTTTCGAGTAATTTATGCAAAATTGAACAAATTTTACCATCAAGTGGCACTTGAAATCTTAATTATAAATTTAAAATTATTTTCAAAATATAAGAATTTTAATTTACCAAACACTTTGCTCCATTTAACATTTGATGTGGTTATTGAAATTGTACGAATGTTCCCATAACGCAACGTGGAATGTGAACGTTGTGAACAAACGTACCTATGGCGCTGGTTTGGATGCTCTACTAGTCTTAATTTGCAATTCATTTCAGAATTTATGAAACTCCTCCTACTAATGCTTTACACTCCTAACACTTTCACATTAGTTGTGGGTTTTTGGAAGATCCAGCTGATTGGAGTTAATTTTTTTAAATTATTACACTAACGACTAAATATTACGAAAAGATCAGCACCTGCTTCCAAGGAGCCTATTATCAAACATACGGCCAGCTTTTCCTCGATCCAATGCATTCAGTTCCTGCACGTCTTCTTCACTCAGAGCAAAATCGAACACCTGAATACACAGTGGATATAAATAATTTTAAAATAGAATATAAAACAAAATTATTTATCAGTAAAGAGGTTATTTCACTGAATATTGGACATTATTAATCTACAAGAAATATTCAATAACTACGTGTTTACACAAAGAGCGCACAAACGCAGCGAATAGGTAAAGAGGGTTAAGAAAAATAGTTCGGTCAGAGAAAATGGGGCTAGGCATCGCACAGCTAGACACTATCAAAAAACGCGTCTTTGCCATGTAAGATCGGTTAACCTGTATGTACTGGAGTATTTGTAAATTATTATTACTGGGAAAATTTTAGTTATAAGAAGAATAGTAAAATAGTAAGAAGTATTTTATGCCAAAATCGTAATTCACTTTTAAGTACTTTGTTTCCTTCTTCTACAGAAATATAACGCTCTTTATTGAGTCCAACTGGAATGATTATAGCTTTATTTCCCTTCTCAGTCTGAAATGAGGCTTCTCGGATGACTATTGGTAAATCGACCTCGCTGAGTGGGGAATGGGGGGGGGGGTTGTGGTACATCCCAGCGCAGCTCCCGGGCCTCTGAAAAACCAGAATTCAATGACGCCCACTGTTCCTATTCCCCTCCACCTACCATCTGCGTTGGTGAACATTTTTCTCAAACACCGCATTCAAAAAACATCACAGGCACAAAAGTGTTTATGAGCTCACCTCGAAGTTCTGCTTGATGCGAGAAGGATTTACACTTTTGGGTATCACCACTATCCCTCTTTGCATAATATGTCGCAACAGAATGTGGGCAGCTGTCTTATTGTGTTTTTTTGCAATTTTTTCAACCACTGGGTCACTCAAAGGTCTCAAAGTAGGAGCGCTAAAGAAAATTCAAAATTGTGAAAATAATGTTCGAATTGTGCTTATCCTGGTTGAATGTATCAGTGAATGAAAGCAGACTACTTAAGTGATGTTGTACCTGCCCTTCCCCATCTTCTTAACGAAGTCAGTTAACCCAGGAGAACCGATAGGGGCGTACGCACACACCGTTATGTCGAGTGCATTGCAGAAGGCAGCCAATTCCTTCTGTTGGAAGTACACATGGAGCTCAACCTGTAGATTAGCAGGTTGAATCCGCGCACATTTAACAATTCGTTTTATCTGGCGTGCATTGAAGTTGGAAAGTCCAATACTTCGGGTACGGCCAGCATCCACTTGTGATTCCATTGCCTTCGAGAAACATTTCTGTTAAGACGCTACTCTCCTAAACTATTCGTATGCATTTTAATGTTTTCTTATTTATTTATTTATTTAATTTTTTTGTGTAAAAAGCGTGTTTATGTGATTGCAATGAGAAACAACCACCATAAAGATCATTACTGATTGGGTCTACTATGTAATCTATAAATTATTGTATTCTAAATTGAGGTCAAATTCTGTTTCCTTTCTTTCTAAATTCGTCTGAAACAAGCAGTTTAACAAATTCACTATTTTAGAAATCTGATGAAAGCACTTTGTTTAATTTATTATAAATACACTGAATTCCTCCAAGCCTTTAAAAGAGCATTTTGCGATACTTAACTTATGCCGATTCTTACCTTCCACAGACTAACATGATCGGTGTTTTTGTCTTGAAGAGTATTCCCTGAATCATCGGTTGGCCAAAGGTCTTCTCCTTTTTCCATCAAGCCAACTGGATTATGTATCAAGTACAAGTCAACATAGTCCAGCTGCAAAGCAGCAAGGGATCTCTTCAAATATTTCTCCACAGATTCTGCCCTGTTACCAACCGGTGGAAGCTAAATCAAATATGTTTAATATTCATATTTTTGCTCATATCTTCTGTAATGCTAGTGTAACTCATTTTAAAATAATAATTTTCATGCGAAAACTAATATAAATTATTGATTTTTTTCCAGAGGAATATCAGATGGCAAGGTATTGTAAGCTTGCTTATTTCATTGATAAGAACACACGTAGGGGAATCAAAAGTAAGTTACTCGTGCACTGGCTCCCCGCGAGAGCGCGCTGCGGGCCATGGCCGTGGAGCGACCTGCAGGAACTGCCAACACATCCGATCGCAAGGTTGGTGTGGTATCCCTGGCGTTTTGCGCACAGAGCGGATTGAGCTCAATGGAGACACCCGATGTTCACTCCAAATTGGAGGAGCATTTGTATTGGCAAACACTTAACCTGTTGCGGAAGGCGATTAAAGAAAGGCGGAGGGGACAATTGAGCGCCGGTGTGATTTTGTTGCACGATAACCTCACACGGCCCGCCAAACCGGTCCAAAATGCTGCAGTGATTGAAGCGCAACGGTCTCCATTCAGCCCAGACTTGCCGCGATTGCCATGTGTTGGGTAAGTTGAAAAGGGATCTCCGTGGACGACGACGATTCCGAAACTATGAGGACCTGATCGCACAGTCTCCAAGTGATTACATTTTGCGGGAGGTGATTTCTACGCATCCGGAATCGAAAAGTTGTTTGATCGTTTCCAGAAATGTTTACAGTTTTAGAGACTATGCGGAAAAGTAAATTTACATTGTATGTTGTCATAGCCGTGTTGCCTTTGTGCAGATGGTTTCATAAATGGCTATAACTTGGAAGTGTAACTTACTTTTTGATTCGCCTTCGTAAATAAATTCCATTTAATTTAATTTAAGAATATTTATTTTCAAAACGAAAATGATACTGAAAGGAAAGAACTGACCTTTGTAACAATGAAAAGTTCCTCTCTTTTGAGGCGTCCAGAATCAAACCATTTCTTAAGAGCTTTTCCAATGGCGGCCTCATTCTGGTACATATAAGCTGTATCTATGTGACGGTAACCAGCTTCCAATGCTGCATCCACAGCAGCAACTACTTCCTCAACACTAGACTAATTGGGACAGTAATTATTAATATACATTCAAACTGTAACAAGCATGCATAAGAGCAGAAATGGGAAATGGAGTTGTGAGAAATGCAAGAATGCCAGTAATATGAATGGAATCTCATATAAGACGGGCAATTAATTATCAAAAATGTTCAAGATGTAAACATTTAATTCAAATTAATTAAAAATATATTGGGCATAGATTCGTAGATGGAGGAACGCTTTATTGGTGCTATTAATGCGAACTCACTACTATTTACAAGAATAAGATTGTAATGTTAAAAGAAAATAGTGCGGTAAAAGAAAGTGAAAATATAGTAGGTATTCCCTGTGCAGAAAGTAGATGAAAAGCTGGATGATGAATTAAAAGAAAAAACAAAATGACATGGTAAGAATGGTAAAAGAATAAGAATATATTGCATTTCGATAAACATATTATAGATTTTAAATTGTATATAAGTCGATAATCTCGCAATTAAAATTACTGAATTACTTACATATAGGGGGGCACCGAAGGGAGGGGAGAGGGTTCACGGGGCTCCAGCGCTCCCCAGAAGCCAATGATTCTTTTCAAAAATATAGCTTTCACTAACGCTCTATACTAATGAAAGTCTTTAAATATATCAACTATTAACGTTACAACTACCAAACATGTCAACAAATGAAAATACATTTAACGTTCAGGATAAATGAAAAATTCTATATAAGAAAACATAAAGGCGGCTGGAAAATATACTTGAAGCCCCTCCGAGAAAAATCTTGATCCACTTACGCGTAAGTACAAAAGATAATAATTTTAAAAAAATACTTAAAATATAATAACCAACCGGAACTAAAACAAGTAAAAATAACATATTAACGCGTTTTTACTGTTTTAGGAAGTCATGAGAAGTACTGCTCAGCTGCTGCAGTAGGACGTCCGCATTTTTAGCCTATATTTGATTCTCACCGAAGCGTCGCCCTCATGTTGATGTTCTGATAAGTTATTCAACTGATAACTCTAGTGAACTAAAAACATATTTCAGGATGCAATTAGGTGATTTCAAAGAAAACGATCACGCTGATTTCGAAAATAATTATAAAACGTTTTTATCACAAAAGGTTCAAAAGATACTTAGAATTTGAAAGAATAAAAATCCTATACTAATTTCCACATTGTCACTCAGGTTACATTACTACAAAATTGTATGAGCATGCTTCATAACTGGAAAGAACAATTTAAAAATGAAATATGCATGTTTGTACAGTAATATGCAGACATTAAAATGATTTGTTGATATTCTCCACAACATTGGTAGAGCGAATGGCAATGATTTGAGTTTTCCGTACAACAACCTAAGGTTCGTTATACAAGTGACACAACACTAGTGTACAGCCCATGGTTTGTCCTAATCTCACAAACGTCAGCCAAAGTATAAAGAACACGCAAGTTTTGTAATTTCATATATATTTTTTCACTTTGAAGTTTGGGTGTAAATCTTCGAAAAAGTAATGTGCAATGACTATTTGAATTTTATTGTATTGACTCATTTCAACTGATCATGAGGCGAATTTCACTTTATAAACCCCACAGAACTGTAAATGCATTCGAGACACGCAAACCAGACACGAACTTCACGCGAACTGCGGGCACAGTTCCGCAAGACACCTACTGACTCAGAATCTGCCACCCCAACAATTGGATACTCGTGTACTTGCGATAAGGGTTAAAATAATTCCTTTCAGCGACTGATGCGTAAAAAACACGAGAGCCTAATTTTATTGATATCTCATGAAAGTGGCATGGATGAACAGAACAAATATTTTATTTTTAATAGATTTTATGCGTATTGACTGTACATATCGTACAGGTTCAATTTAAATGTATTTGCATTACTAGTAAAATACGGTATATTTAAAAACTGTGACGTGATCTTCGTCTTCTTTAGAATCTGAAGAAGACCAAGATATGTTGCTCGAAACGGCCGCACGTCAGCCTTCTACGCGGCGTCAGACGCACAGCCCAGATCGTGACATGACGTTTTCATTGTGATATTCGTAATCTACGTATAAAATGAAGTACGTTACGCACTCTACCTTCCTGGATGTAAAAATTGTGTGCTCTATTGAAATTTATTTAACATTCATTTTACAGTTGAGTAAATATTAGATTATAATTACATCTCAAATATATTATTTCCCTATTCTTCATTTTAAAATGAACGAGAATGAATTTCATTGCCATGTTATTAGAATTAAATAGTCATTCCGTCTATAATTCTCCGGTTTCAATTGTACCTACACCGCTTCTTAACTGTTTGAGTGTTGCCTACACCATGGATTGTGATGTGAAATGACTTAAAATTTTGAAACACAAGTACGAATATGTACAAATGTTCTACTATTTCATTTTCTATGTATTTTCAATTTCATGTAATTTATTAAAATTTGCGAGCTTCTGACTGCAGCAGTTGGTTAGTACTTTTCATGATTTCATAAGACATTAAAAATATATTAAAATTTATATTTTTACCTGATTAATTCACAAATGGGTATTCTATTTTTAATTTCTAACTATTGCTTACGTAGTAGAGAGAAAGTTATACTATGCGGCTCATGAAAACGGCAACTTTTCGGCAAAAAGCTCTTCATTACAGGGCCCTGGTAACGAAAAAGTTGATAAATTTAGAATACAATCCTTTAACACGTGGTGTAGCCAGAATCCATGTTTTGTGGGTCCTTGATATCGAAAAATCGAATGACGGCAAAACGTCCGACTGTCCGTCCCGTCCGTCCGTGAACACTGTTAGCGGCTAAACCGTTCAGCCGATTTTCTCCAGAATTGATATTCCGCAATCGATCTAACTGATATCACGGATCCTTGAGTTTAAAATCAATATTTTTATTTGGAGGGTACTTGACATAATACCCTCGGAACATTTTCCAAATTTTCAAAAAAATAGCTCCATAGTTTTTTAATAAATATTGTTGTTGGATAGTATGAAGAACTTTTAAGAGAATGGTGCAGGTCTCATTTTTGTTCAAAACTTATTTATCGAAAATTGCAAAAGTTCAAAAATTTTTTGATGTCCTCCTACAACTACAATTATGAAGAGGGATATTTTTTCCCTCAATAAAAAAATGTTCCTTAACGGAAGATTTTAAAATAAGGACTTGTTCAATTTTTTCGAAAATTTGAGTACTTTTCGCGTAATTGTGCGTGAAAGTACGGAAAGAAAGTACGTACCACTTATTAAAAAACTAGTTCAACATTCACTATATTGCTCTGAAATAACAACTACTAATACTAAAATAAAATTGCAATGCTTTTACGGGCAAATCTGGTCGTAAAAAGCTCTGATTTTTACAGGAACGCGTCACTTACGATTTTTTTTTTTTTGTGAACATCCCAAGCGTTGAAGAATGAAACTATCACTTCGAGCTATGTAAGATCTTAATAATAAAAATGCTAAACGATGAAACAGTATCTCCTTACATAAACAAAGATGTAGGGGAAACTGCTCTAGGGTCCGTCGTTGTGCCAATCGTCTATTGGTGCGCGACTCCATTGAAAAAATATATATTTATTATCCTTGTTCGACAAGATTGTCTTTCAAGTGTTTTAGGTTACATATGCACTAGTAAAAATGTGGCTTCGTCGACGCTGTAAACTGTTTTAAAAATAGTTTCCTGTGTTCAAAATTTCTTTCATACTTCTTTGTTTTCATGCCCAGCTTTCATAAAATACGTTCGGTCAGTATCTGGAATTGGGCTTACCAATGAATCGTAGTAGCTGATATTGCTATACTCCCATTCAAAAGTTCCTAACACCCAATGGCCTTGTATGTTACCTCCTTACGGGATATGAACTGGTCTTATTGCAATTTCAAAATTATAATCGCCATAACAAATTCTTGCATATTTTATTATGTTGATGGTTTATGCAATTGTAATAGAAACTAACAATAAAGCATACCCAGGAAGGGGTCTTGGGAAAAATATATTTTAAATTAAGGGATATTTGAACCTACTCTTAACTGAATGAATTGTGACGTCTCATCCCTGAACCCCCTCTGAAATGAATCTACTTCGTGAAACCCACGCAAAGAAGAAAAACATGTGATCGGAGGCGAAAGTATTTTAGCATAAAATGCATTAAAACGTATGCACTTCACAGACGCAAAGTTATTTTTATTAGTTTCTCGTATTCGTCCGTAGATACGGAGTAATATGCGTAGTATAGAGACAGGTATGTAATGCAGCGGAAAATCGATTTCGATATTTCACCATAAATTCACGTTTTAGGGCTCCGCCAGTTTGTCCGTCCGTAAGTATGTCCTTCCGTCCGTCTGTGAACACCATTAGCGTCCAAACCATACGTAAGATTTTTCAAAAATGAATTTTTCACGCTTTCAATGACTTCTAATAAAGTTTTTCGAGAACTCAAAAGATTTCTGTGAAAAAGAGATTCAAATTTCGCATTTACTCTAGAGCTTAAACGATATATTTTTTTAAAAAAGGCTCTAATTTTTTCTACCAGAATCTTCTTGTAAGACGAGATTTTCCTCTTTCATAATATTCTTAAAGTAATATTTCAGTTTTGTCATTAGGAAACCGAAAAATTGAAAAATGTCAAAAAAAGTACTTCGGGAGTATGAGAAAGTCTGTGCCATTTTGTAGCATCATTAGTTGTCATTGTGGTGGTCGGACTTTATCACGCATAGAGAAGCGTCAGCTAGGACCTGACAGAATTAAACAAGACTCGAATTGTTTAACTTCCGTGACTTCACGGAGCGCAATTAATGTTCCAAGGAAATATTCAACTGAAAACAGTTGTTAAAGAACATTCGGGGCTAGGTGAAAGTTGGGGTGGAATTCGCAGAAAAGAGTTGGGGAAAAGTCTGGGGAAATTCCGTAACCGGATTTTGATGTTAAGACCTCCCCAAGATAACGGTGGAAACATTTGAAAACAAACACCGATTTTACACAGGCGTTATTGACTTGTAGATTAATAAAAACATTCCGTTTTGGCATTGGGAAAGTTCCCGGTATTTGGATGTAATTTCCATGCAGCGTGGAAAGTTCTTCTCTTTCTCCGCCTTCGATACTCCATGGGGCAGGGGCAATCAAAGAATCGAGTAAAGAAAATACCTCTTTGATCACACAACCTCGTGTGAAGAAATTACAAGAATGCTCTCGTTAAGGGTTTCTTATCCAATTTTTTTCATTTCGACCTTTCAGGATGTGATCATAAACGGGGCACCTAATGTGGATAAATTGTAGGAAAGAGAAATTAGTACTTTCCTCTTAGGGGGCCATCAGATTCTCTAGGACAATCCTCGGTATTCTCTCCTTAAACTCGGACCCTCTTTGTACGAATGGAATTGTTCGGTTCAGAGGTCTGCATTCAGCGAGGCGGGTATTCTACACAACAGAGTTTCCGTGACATGCCAGTTCGTCTGCAGTAGGTTGTCGAATAAATTTAAAGTTTTATCGCACGCGCGAGAAAACACATTTTTCGCAGCAAAGAAGGAGGTGCCTTACCTGCCACGTGCCGAGGCCCACAATAGGCATCTTCTGCCCATTGAAGAAGACCACGTCCTTTGCAGCCATCCTGGCGCGCCGTGGTTGGGGAGTCTCCTTGACAAGCTTTGACGAGAAGCTTGTTCGCTAGCTTGGCTTTCTCACGTGTGGATCGCGAGCGGCGGCGAATTTATATCACCTCGCTGCTCTTGAGTCAATGAGGCGTTGGAAACTTACGTAAGCATTGTTTCTGATAAGATAAGCTGAGTACCATAGGGCTCGTTTTTTGATATGTCACCGTTTTGAATAAACTCCGCGTTGCTCTCAAGTATTAACATTCTGAATACAAACTCCCGATAGTAAAACAGTGGAACGAATGAGAGGGAACTTGAAAGAAAGTATTGAGATGTACGAGTTAGTGTAGTATTAAGGTGCACATGTGAGGTAGCATATGAGGAAACACATATGAAATATATGAGAGAAAAGTAATAAATGCACTTGAGGTAACGCAAGAATTTGAGAGAAATTTAAAGAGTATGTGCAGGTAAATCAGCATTTCTCTACGGAAAATACTAATTCAACTAAATTTTTGGAAGCCTTGCTTTTGGCGTTCTTAGGGAAGAGATCTTTAGGAAATATTCCCAGAACCGATTGAGAGGAGAAATGTCCATCCATAGATTCGACTACTCGTGTAAACATCAATACCTACTCCTTCCATAATCTCTTGGCCTCATCCGTAACTGTTTAAGTGATTTCTGTGCAATTTGCCGGTACGCGTATTTGAGGAAGGTACGTGGATTTCTACAACCAGAGCTATGATGCCAGCATCGGGAGGCGGAGGCTACAGGCCACCATGTTCGTAGGGTCGGCAGTTGGTGTTGAGGCCGAGTGCGTAGTTGATCCAGATAGAGGTCCCCTCCCCCTTCATCGAAAATAAATAAGAACGGAAAAATACATAACATATTTTATTCAACCGTCATGTGTATCATTAAATTGTTATATTTATTTTATATAACTTCCGCTCTTCATTTTTGCAATGCAAAAACAGTGCAGCGCTCTTCATTTTGTTATATTAACTCATTAAACAATTTTTGCATCTCGATTTTGTCGGCCATGTCGCAATGAAATTCGCAGAATCGCAATACTGCTGAGCCGATTTTGCACTATAGTTGATCGCTTAAACGTTCTGAGTCGACGCAAAATCCAGACACGTCATTAATTTCAAGAAATTGACGTTTAGGGAATATTTTTCAAATTCCGTGTGTGTATATTACCCAGTTAGGATTTTTCGTGAGGGATACCCAAATTATCCGCCAGGCTTGCATGTGCGTATGTGTAATGGTTAAGAGCCGAAATAAGAATAAGGATTTCTTGGCGTGATGTTTGGAGAGCGTGAAGGACCTCCTCACTGAGAATTATCCTTAGAAGGGCAGTAGATACCACAAGAGACTCTGGTAGGTCTTTTGAGCGCCGATAAATAAGAGCTAGGAAACATGTGGTGAAATTAGATCAACTAGCCTTGACTTGAGGGAGTAGGAAAGTGCTTAAACCTTTCTGAACTCTATTAATTTCCATCTGAAGCCTATTTGACGCAGAACAGGAGAGAGTAATCCCTTCTCCAGCAGTAGCATTATAATTCTAATATTAACTAATAATTATTAGAGGATCGATTGTTTCTAATAAATCCCACACAACCTCTGAACCAAGAATTGCACAATGCTACGAAACAATTGACAGAATTAAGGAGAAATGTATTTCAAAATACAATCTTTGCATGCTATATTTATCGGTGAAATACTAATCAAAACGTGATTGTGTTGTATTGGACAAGGTCAAACAATTATCATAATACGCCTGATATTGTGATGAGTTATTTCAATGCTCATGGTCACGTTGTGGGCATATCATCATATCTCAAAATAGACATTCAATGCCTAAATAAACATTTTTTATTTATTGTATAATGTGAGTTTATTATATATCCTTTTTATACATCATGCAAGTGATATGAGTTTGTATCTTATTCCACTTGGGTAGATAAGTCAATCATTCGTTTTTGTTAATTCCAATTTATTATTGTTATTGTTATTGAAGGGATCAGTAGAAAAAGGTTCTCCCATTTTGACCTAATTCTTAGATGCTGAGGGTCTAACTGGACATATAAGCATATAAGCAGGCATATAAGCCCATAGTGGATTTAAATATCGTATTACACTAAATAGTTTTTTAATATTTATTTAATGTTAATAACTTAATTTCACATAAATTGTTAGATAGCCACTTGTTCTACTGAGCCTTTCATTTTCTTGTGTGGTAATTCTTTTTTCTATGTGATTTTTTTCGTTTGCTGGTTATAATTTGGGTTTCGTGATTCTAGTAAGCTCTGTGGTTCTATAATGGAATTAGGAACTAAAATTTTCTTGTCATTATGTGTTGATACTCAGATAAGTACCTGAGTACATACGAGAAAAGAAAGGGACGTAACTCTTTTTACTCTCATGTAAATTTTGTAAGGTTTTTGTCTCACACCTTATGCTACAAAATGTCAATGTCGAGATTTGGGCAAAATGCATGTATGGGGGGCCTGAAACACAGAAACGTTTTTTGAATTAGTCTTTCAGTTTGACCGTCGATCAGTCTGTCCGAGTTCAAATAGCTATCCGAGACCAAAGGAAATAGAAAACTAATAAAGGAAAGTCTGTGCACTAATTGTTGACATATGATACGCCAGAATGTAATCTTGTACACTCTTCACAATATCAGAGGTATTCTGATGAAAGTTGTAACCTTTTCCAAAATTTCATAACCAAGTTTTGATTCTTATTATTTCGAAAATTATAGAATGCAAATATTGTATTTGGATTTACCATTTCTTCTTTATTCTATCGTTTCATAGCATTGCGCAATTATTTTACTAAGGTATCTGTTTTTCTTAAGTTCCAGTTTTGGATGCATTTTCGGTAGATATTCATTCTTACGGTCTACAAAGCATAAGATCAGTGAGAGTTTTCTCTCCCTACCTTCTTTTTACGAGGGTAATACTTCGTATAGCGTATCCTCCAGTACAACTGTCTCCACGGAGCTTTGCAAAATATGCACGTTGCAAATAACAATATTTTTAAAGGTGTGCATTGCTTAATATTTACATAAAGGAAACGATAATCTAGTGATGCTACAACTACACAGTTTGTCGCATTATTTCCAACATTCGCAATTTCGAAGGATCAGAGAGTTCAACCTGCGCCATTATTGTAAGCATCTCTTGTTTTATCTGTAGAAAAAAATTGAACAAAAAAGAGGCTTTTTTATAATAATCGTGAACTTTAAGCAGAAATTACGTGAAAACTACTGTTATTTTCAAAACATTGTATTAATTTTTTTAACCATTTTATTTTTATAACAGAATTTATCTACGACAAGAATTTCAATCTTCGATATGGTACCTTTGCAACTTTCGAAACTTCAGAGAGTTCGCAGCAAACTAGAGTAGCACCACTTTTTTAACCTTTGATACATACGAGGAGAAAATTTGAAGAAACAAATTGGAGATATTTTTTAATGTTTAAAATTTGCCTATATTTCAAGCAAAACTACGTGAAAACTTCTCATATTTTCAAACTAGTTGTGCTACAACAACACATACTTTCTCACTTTATTTGTAAAAGCTTGCATTATTCCCAGTATATCATACAGGCAAGCATAATTTAACATATAAATTGAACATCCAGAACTAAATACCATACAAGATATCGCATCAATATCATTACCTTATGTATGTCTTTACATGCTTTCTTCCCGTCTTTATTAAAATCGAATATACCATTTTATTGAACATAGAGAACATTGTAACACTACCGCGTTATATCTTATCTTTGCTATCACGTCGCCGTTCAATAATGAACTTCTCAAATATCCATCGTTGCATTGGTGCCCAATGCACTGCCGTAAGGTAGGAATATATAGTATATTTTTAAAAATTTGATCCTTGCTCAAAAAAAATTGTTTTTAAGCGTGTGAACAATTACATTAACATCAAATAGAATATTAGTAGAATTATAAAAAGTAACCTCTGAACATGCTACTGACATGTGAAAGTATTTTTATTGTTTAATTTTGGAGAGTGATAATGATCTTAAAAATAAACGATGGATACATCATAATACATGAAAATGTATACAATGATAGCAATTGTACAATGATACAGGGATGAAAGATAACTATGAAAGATGTAAGAGATCTTTTGAGTAAAGTGATATTAATTCCCGGAAAAGGATTAACTGTTTTTCCCAGCTGAAATGATGTATGAGGAGGAAAAGAAAGGGGAAGCATAAAATGTATCTAAGAGATGCAGGATACAGAATTTTAAAGGAAGATTACTGAATTCGTGTAATATTTGATCGTTTCTTTTGATCTAGGGTGCTTGCAATGCTTCCCTTAAATGTAGCGCATAACCTTAATTTTTAATTTATCGTCGTATGAATTCTTCGTAAGGAGAGAAAGATATGGAATCGTGCGCCAGAAAAAGCCGAAATTTCGCCAGAAAAAACTTATAGCCGGGTGTTGGTAACGATGAAGTAGATAACTCCTGTTTCTAAATTTAGAAGAAAAAAATCCTCCAACTGTTAGACATAATCCATGTTTTGCTGATTCTTCATACCAAAAAATCGTGTGACGACAAAACGTCGGTATGTCTGTCGCTAACGCTACCGCCAAAACCGTTCAGCCGATTTTCTTCAAATTTGATATTCCTTAATCGATCTTAATAAAGTAGTAGTTTAGATCTTAATAAAGTAGTAGTATCTCTCGTAGTTTTGGATGTTTCAAACGATTATTTTGATTTTTGAGGGTGCTTCACATGAAGCCTCAAACACATTTTCCAAATTTTCTCAAAAACGGCTCCAAAGTTTTTGATTAAATTTTGTTGTTGAATTGTGCAAAGGTCGTCTAAGAGTCAGATCTCATTTCTGCCAACTTCCCCGATTCTTCGAAAATTGCAACAAACAAAAAAAACTATTTAAAAATACAAAATTGAAGATAGAGGTTTTTGGATCAGGCAAAGTCTGTTGTAAAAAAGTAGGTCTTTAAAAAAA